CGCTCGAGGCCGTCCGCGTCGACGATCCCCTCCTTCTCCAGGTACATCTCCTTCACCTCGGCCTCGGGCGGCAGGCCGAAGCCAGGAACCTCATCCCCCTCAACGAGCTCAGGGAAGCTCGGCACGGGCGGCAGGTCCCAGGACGCCCGCATGCCCGCGAAGCTGTCGAGGTCGAGGTTGCCGTTCTTCTCATTGTGTCGGCCAGCCTCCTGCACCTGGCCATGGAGGACGGCGACGACGTTGTCCGTCTCCGGCCGCCACTACGCGTGCATGCCGGCCTGCGCCTTGACCGTCTTCTGGAAGGCCGCCTCGTTCAGCTTCCGCACTCCCTCGAAGCGCAAGGCGCCCTCCACCTTCACCACCTCCTTGCTGTCGTACCAGTCCAGCAGCTCGTCGCCCGACGTGTGGCTGTCCATGCCGTACTCCAGCTCGTCGTCGGCCAGCACGAAGTGTTCGCACACTGCGCCGACCTCTGGAAGCTGGCACCGCCCCTTCAGTCCACCTCCTTGACCTCGGGCGACCGTGAGCGATGCCTCCTGCGCTTCCTCTCCTTCTTCTCCTTCTTGGCCTTCTTGTCCTTCGGGGCCTCCATCGCGGTCGCGCCAGCCTTCGGCCTGTCGCCCGCCCACGAAGTCAGCGGTCCCGAGCTGGTCCACGGGGCCAGGGCCGACGACGAAGCAGCCGACTCCTCCAGCCTCGGGGACCACGAGCGCGAGCGCTGCCTCGCTGGCCTTGCCCAGCGCGACCAGCGCGTGCTCGCCTTCACCTCCTGGTGCTCCCAGTCGCCCGGCGGGGGCGAGGGCGGCCTGTCCTGGGTTTCGCCATCCAGGATGGCCTTCAGCGGCGCCGACGATGGCCTGACCGCCGATGGCCTGGGGAACGGCATGGCCTTGGCGGGCGTGGCCGCGCGCACCGCCGCTGAGACCGCCGCTGTCACCACCGTCTCCACCAGGTCGCGCACCTCCGCGCCCGCGCCAGCAGAGCTCGGCATCGCCTGGGGCCTCTGCCGCCGCCACGGCACGGAGGAACGCCATGACATGGACGTACACTACCTGGCTCGCACGGACACGCCGTGTCGAAGTATGTCCGTGCAACACTCCCTGAGCGCGACACGGCTTGAGCCAAGGGCTACGGAAGAGGAGGAGGAGGAGCAGGAGGGGGAGAGGGGGAGGGAGGAGGAGGAGGGGGGGAAGGCAAGCTAGGTGCGCTCGCGTCATATCTGACATCCTACCCCTCCCTCCCATCCCTTACCATGGCGCAGATCCCCTCTCTACTCGCACAGTCGGATGTCGAGCGGAAGGGGAGGGGGAGACGGGGGAGGGGGAGCAGCCTCGGTCCTGGAGCTTCGTGTCCAGGGGGTCGGGCACTTCCGTCCCCCTACAGGCGGATTTTGGACGAAACATCAAGAATCCGCCGACCCTGTCGGCGTGTGTGAGGGGCTTGTCCGTTCAAGTCGCTATCTCCGTCAGTCGTTGGTCGTCGTCTCTGTCGTCCCCCACCATCCCACCACCCCGGTTGGAGATGTGCCCCTCGAAACTCGAGGGGAGTACATCCGCACCTAGGGGCCTCTCCTCTCTTCCCGATTCCCCCTCCTCCTTCTGCTCCTCCTCCTCCTCCTCCTCCTCCACCTCCTCCTCCTGAAGGCAGCTTGCCAGAAGGGTAGACACCATGGCTTGCACCGGCACTGTTGGTGTCGAAGTTGGTGTATATCGTTTCCCTGAATCCTCGGGCCTGCGGTCGGCGCAGGATTGGGCACATGTCCGAGCGATGCCAAGGCCGAGCTCTGGCGTGGCCTCGCGCACCTCGGGCCCGCCGGGGCCTTCCGCAGCGCGCGGCGCGGGCGCGCGCGGGGCGGAGAACTGGAAGGGCCGCTCGCGGGCCGTGCGCAGTAGCGGGGAGGCGGGGCGCTCGGCGGCGACGACGACGACGACCACGACCACGACCACGACGACGACGACGACGACGACCACGACCACGACCACGACGACGACGACGACGACGACGACGACGACGACGACCACGACCACGACGACGACGACGACGACCACGACGCCGACGCCGACGCCGACGCCGACGACGACGACGACGACGAAGGCCTGGGCGAGGCGCGCGGCGAGCGGCGCCAGCGGTTGCGGCGGAGCGGCGGCGAGCTGGCGCACAGCGGTTGCGGCGGAGCGGCGGCGGCGCGGGGCCTCGCTGCAGGCCCGCAGCGCGCCCTCGCCGTCGCCCTGGTCGGCCAGCTCCTCCTGAGGGCAGCGCGCGCGCGAGACCGCCCGCCAGGGGCGGGTCGAGGATCGAGGGTCGAGGAGCTGAGGCTGCGGTTTCTGCGCTCGGGGATGCGGGGTCGAGGGTCGCGGGCCGATGTCCACCAGCCTCACGCGAGCGGAGAGAGGGGGCGTGCTCCAGCGCAGTCGGGCAGCCCCCCTGCACGAGCAGGAGGGAGGAGGAGGAGGAGGAGGAGGAGGAGGAGGAGGAGGAGGAGGAGGAGGAGGAGGTAGAGGAGGAGGAGGAGGAGGAGGAGAGAGGAGGAGGAGAAGAAGGGAGGAGGAGGTCGCAAGGAGGAGGACACGGGAGGAGGAAGAGGAACATGAGGGACAGGAAAGGGAGGAGGGAGGAGGGCAGGAGGGAGGCAAGGCAGGAGGGAGGGACAAGGAGGAGGCAGGACCCAGCCGAGGCAGGCGGGCGACAGGACAGCCCCTCCACGGACCACCCTCCGGGCGAGGGCGCGCGCGCGCGGCGGGGGCGCAGGCGAGGGTCCCAGAGGGGGGCCTCCTCCTCCTCCTCCTCCTCCTCGCGAGGGGAAAGGGGGAAGGCTTCTCATTGTTAGTAGGCGCTGGCCCTACGTCTATAGATCAGGCCCCCGCCCTCTGAGCGGCAGAGGTGCTCCTGAGGAGCCTTCCCCCCTCCCCCCACCCCTTCGGCGCGCGGCAGATCCAGCACGAGGCCCCCAGAAGCCCCGCGCGGCAGATCCAGCACAAGACCCCCAGAAGTCCCGGCTCTGCATCCCGACTTCCTTCTTGTCGGGAGACTCTTCATGGGGGGGGATCCCATGGGGGGATAGGATCCCAGGGGGGTGATCCCATAGGATCCCCTGGGGATCCCATGGGGGAGCAGGAGGGGATCCCATGGGGGGGATCCCCTCCTGCCCCCCCATGGGATCCCCCCCCATGGAGAGTCTCCCGATCTTGGACGGTCCCGGGGCCCGGCGGGGGCCCCCCGAGGCCGAAGACGGAGAGAGCTCGCCCGTCCTGCGCTGCCCACGACGCGAGCAGGCGGCGTCCGGGGAGCGCGCGCGCGCGGCGCCCAGGAGAAGGCGGCCGGCTCGACGGCCGCAGAGCCTCCCCAGGGCGCCGAGAGCGGAAGACCCGAGGAGTACGTGGCTCCCATCCTGCTTAAGTGAAGGGGAACTGGGACACACAAATAAATACACACCAACAAAAATATCCCCCATATTTTCCCATATTTTCTGGGTTTTTGTCTTCCCCCCCAATTCCCATATTTTCGCATATTTTCCTGGGGATCGACGATTAATTGTGTCTGTGTGTTTTTTTCCTTCCTGATTAAGGACTGCATCCCAGAAATGATCCCGAGCACCCAGAAAAGTGCCACAAGAGTGTCGAAACAGTGACGATGCAGTGTCGGGCGAGTGTCTCCCGGGGCCCGGCACGTGAAAACCCTCGAGTTTCGGTACTTTTTTGGGCCGCTCGAAATTCTTCCTGGTGATCAGCGCTAAAGTAGGTTGGAGCATCATAACCCGAGGAGCCGTTTCCGCTCGGATCCTCAAGTCTACAGGGGGCGTCAGTCCACAAGGAGCCTTTCACAAGAAGCCCAACCCTGAGACCCCTAGACGAGCGCGTTCCACTACTCGCAAAGTAACTGCTCGCAAATGGCCTGGATCCGCCGCGGGGGATCTACTGTACATTTCGTCGAAGCAGCCATATGTTTCTCGGACGTTTGCGAGTAGGCACTTTGCGAGTCGTGGAACGCGCTCGGCGAACCCGGGAACGTCCATGGATTGTTGGTGTGGGCACGTCGCGCTCTCCATGGCAGGGCCGTCGACACCCAGGAAACCCAGGGCACCCAGGAGGCTAGCAGGTTTTTTTTTTTGGGCGTGGGCCTCCACTGTGCGGCGAATCACGTTTCCAGCGAACCGCCGCCCCCCAGTCCAGGCAGATCCGCGGGCGACTCTCGGGCTCTAACCAGTGCTGGCACCCTCTCTGCCGGGTGGCATGGACCCCATTGCCCCCGATGCCTCCGCTCGGCCAGCGCTCTTCCCTTCGCGCCCCCGCCCGCCCAGAAATACGAGCCTTCCGGCAGAGATGTGTAGCCTCATCAGAAGCCCCGTCAAATACAGTGGAGGGTTGGGCCGAAAACCACTCGATCATCCCTGTTGGTTTATCACAGCGGTGCACGGCGTACTGGACCTTGGGTTGTCTGGGTTCTGAGACGCACGAATACGTATACGTAAATATACATATATATGTATCTATATATATATATAGACCTCTCAAGTGGGGTCTAGACCCACCACGCCAGCCACACGAACGCGGCGAACAAGTCATATCCCATCGGTCTCCCGCCTTCGGTCGACCCCAAGAGGGCCTCCAGGACTCCAAGAAGGCCTCCAAGATGGCCCCAGGAAAGCCCAAGATGGCCTCAAGACGTCTCCAAGCCAACCCACTATGCCCCCAAGACGTCTCCAAGCCAACCCAATATGCCCCCAAGACGGCCTAGAATGGCCGGAAGATGGCCCGAGACAGTCCGAGAGACCCCCAAGAGAAGCCTCCAGGAGGTCCTTCTGGAAGGCCCGAATAGGCACAAATCATTGATTGTCCGTAGGTGTTTGAAGATTTCAGGTCTTTGCTCATTTGCAGCTCTCCGACGCCCCAGGACGGCCCCAGAGGCCACCAGGGTGGCCCCAAGAGCGCCCAAAAGGCGTCCGAGAGGGCCCCATGACGGGCCAACGGGCACACAAGACTGCCCAAGAGGGTCCCAGGACGGCCCAGGATACCTTCAAGACGCCAGGGATGAGCCTCCCAGACGGCCCTTATTAGTCGGCTACACGCAAGAGTGACCCTGGGTAAGAGTGACCTTTGGTGCGCGGCTTTTTGGGGGGCCGCGGGGGGACCAAACACAGGCGCGCAAGGCGCCACTGCCGCCTCGCGTTCGGCGATCGGGGGACCCCATTGTGCCCACACCAAAGGTCACTCTGGCGAAAGGTCACTCGTACGTCTGGTCGAATTAGGCGCCCCCAGAGGGCCCCAACTCGGCCCAGAGAGGCCCCCACGACATACTCCGATGGCGTCAGACGGGCCAGGAGCGCCCTCAGACGGCCACAGAGCCTCCACTCAGGAGGGGGAAAAACACACAGGCACCATTAATCGTCCACTTCCAGGAAGTGGGGGGGAAGAAAAAAAAACCCAGAAAATATGGGAAAAGATCGTGAATCCTTTATTTGCGTGTATTTATTTGTGTGTCCCAGGGCCCCTTCATCCACAGGAGCTTCCAGAGGCCCCCGGCAGGCCCAAGGAAGTGCAAGGTGTCCCCAGGGCCCCAAGGAGTGCCCCAAGAGGCCCCTAAGAGGCCACCTCCTCCTCCTGTCCTCCCTCTACTCCTACTCTGAAGTCGGGCCTGTCTTCCTACAGGGAGTTTTGGACGAAAAATAAAGAAGAGTCAAATGATACCAGAAAGAAACCCCCATCATCATCTGTTTAGGGCTTTAGGGCTATGGGGCTATACGGCTGTAGGGCTAGAAGGCTATGGGGCTATAGGGTACAGGGCTACAGGGCCATAGGGCGATTGGGCTATAGGGTTATGGGGCTGTAGGGCTATATAAGGCTATAAGGCTATAGGGTTATTAGGGCTATAGGGCTATAGGTTTTTTTTTTTTTTGAGTTCAACGCCCTCACTGTCGGACAATGTCGAGAGAACTGATGGAGCGGTGCGGCAGGCGGCCGTCTGTTTATTTTATACGACCACGTCTAGGCTCTGGAACTGGTCA